GGTTGCATAGTTAACCTCACTGTCCTTCAATGTTCTTGAAATCATTGTTATAGGACGACCCTCTTGAGACAAAACTGCACCTATGCCGTGAGCCGAAGCATCGGTCGTTAGATCGAATGGCTTCTTAAAATCGGGGTACCTGAGCATTACATTCTCGGATGACAAAATATCGCGCAACTTCTGAAATGCCCTCTGCTGCACTTCAGAGAATTGAACCTTTATATTTCTGGACCTATGCTTACTCACTGTTCCATTTTCACCCTTCAGGATATTCGAGATGGGTCTTGCTATTGCGGCGAAGTCCCTAATGAAACATCTGTAATAACTTGCGAGGCCTAGAAATGATCTAACCTCGAACAGCGTTTTTGGTTCTGGATACTCCTGTATTGCCCTAACCTTTTCAGGATCCGTCGTGGTGCCAGTGCTGGTGACTACGAAACCAAGAAAGTTCACGCTTTTCTTAAAAAAACGTGACTTTTCGACGGAGACCCTCATGTTTGCTTCGTGTAAGCTTTTTAGGACCCAATCCACGTGTTTAATGTGGGATTCCTCATCTTCTGAAAAGATGATTACGTCATCGACATAAACATAGCAAAATTTGCCAATCTGCTCTCGCAGTATGTCGTCGATGGTTCTTTGAAAGATGCTTGCTGCATTCTTTAATCCAAAGGGGAGTCTTTTGAACTCGTATTTCCCCCCGTTCACAGAGAAAGAGGTTTTTTCACGGTCGCGTTCAGCGAGTATGATCTGGTGATAACCAGACTTGAGGTCTAATGTTGAAAAGAATTTGGCTCTCCCCAAATTCCCCAATATCATTGATATATTTGGCATAGGGTATTTGTCCGGCACGGTTTTTTCGTTAAGTTTACGAAAGTCCATTACCAACCTCATTTTCCTATTGCCCGCTTCATCAGTGCCCTTCTTGTCTACTACCCATATTGGGTTATTGTAGGGAGAGACGGACTTTTGAATTATATCATTCTTTAGTAGATCTTTGATTTCTTTATTAACGAAATCAGCCGCTCCCATTGGATATGGGTAAAGCTTGGCATAGATCGGTTGCTCGTCTGTAGTCCTAATGGTAGCCACGACTGATGTGTTATACGGCAACGCCTCGTCTGGGTCTGCAAAGGCCTTTTGTCTGGTCTTCAGCATTTTCAAAAAAGAACTTCTAACTAATGGGGATGCGTCTGCACAGTCTACATTTGTGAAATTTACATTTTTGCATTTGTGGAAGGTGATTGGTTCGACCTCCGTGCCCCACTTAAGTTGTCCTGAAGCTAAACAAAGCGAAGCAGATGCCTGCTTTAGCAGGTCAAGGCCTATAATCCCATCAAAGGTTGATAAGTCCGGCAGAATAAAAAAAGTTGCTTTTAACCCAAACATTGAAACAAAGCATTTGTGTGTAATTTGTGTCTCGCCGTGAATGGAGTGAATTTTGAAGGGGGACTCTACCGAGCGGACGCCTTTCAACCCTTTATGTGGCCGAATGAAATTCTTGGCCGCGCCCGTGTCTATGAGGAATTGCATGTGAGTCCCTCCTACTCTTCGTCTGATGACGGGTAGAAGGGATTTACTCCTAAAAAATTAAGGGCATCAGAGTTATAACTAGTAACGTCATTGATTTGTGCCGCTGCGCTGGAGGCAGCATCAGCACACACCTCTGCCCCCTGTCCCGCGCCTTGCGTGACGTGATTCAACCTTTGCTGCTTTCTCAGACCGCCTGTGCGGTCAGATGCGGGGTGCTTCTTGTTCGCGTAAGCAAGGGCCTGAGTGGGCTGCATTACCCTTGAAAAGGAAGGATCGACCTCCATGGGCACTGGTGCGCCATTATTGTTGTGCTGCCTGGTGCTTCGTGGGTCAGTCCGAAATGGGGCCCTGTTTTGCTTGCTAAAGTGCGGATTCTTTGTACCGCTAGCTTGTCTTTCGGCTTGATGCGAATGCCTCTCATATTGGTGACCCTGCGCTTTTGCATGCGGCTTGCGCTCTTTGTCTTCAAGACTTTTTGCAAAATTAGCCGCGAATGAGTACCTTTCGTGATTCGACTCGACCTCTTGCGCGAGAGCTAGCGCTGAAGGCAGATCTCTGGGCTTTGCTGCAAAGAGCACATCTGTTAGACTGCGCTTGAGACCCGATATGAACACACGCAACGCATCGTCGCGGAATTTTTCACATAGGCCCTTTGCTAAAGCCGGCTCATATGACATATTAACTTTGTTTGTGAGAAGAGCGAGTTTCTTCTCTACTTCATCATAATATTGAAGCAGGGACAGGCCACCTTGCCTCAAGGTACTTAATTCTTGTTCAATGACATGAATTGGTCTCTTATCACTGTATGTGAAATCTAGGCGATTTATTATCGCATCAAAATTCAGCACAGTACCAAATGAGGCTAGCACCGCGTCTGCGGGGCCCCTAATCTTGCTTCTTATGATGATGACGGCCTGATAATGACGAGAACTGCCATTATACGGTCTGAAGATCTCGTAAGTGGCTAATGCTGCCTGCCTCCAAGATACATACGATTCCTGTACCCCTGCAAACTCAGGTAAGCATTTGACGGCATCTAGTGGCTCGTCACAGTGAATATCGTTCCTAATTCCTATAGCAGCATACGCTACTACTTGTGGGGCGGCAACGTTTGCTACCGCTATTTGTTCAGCTAACTCATTAATTCGTTGAGTTAATACATGTTCCCTCTGCTGGTTTACAGCGGCCTGTTCGGCTAAAGCTTTGCTAGTAGCCGTCCTTATTATTTCCGTAAGCTGATCTGCATCCATTCTACCTGATGGTGGGGGAACTACACAGTCGGAATCTGAGTCGCTAGACTGCCTGCGAGGGTTTCTATATTGGTTGAACCGAGACATGCGCAGGTCAGTGGTCGCGAAAAATAAAACGGGCCGTCAGAAGATGGGTCGAATTACGTCACAGCTCTGAACTACGAGAACTGCATGCACAACTTCAGACACACAGAAAGTAACACAATGTAATTTTATTGACGATCTGAATGATCAATTGCTGCCACTAAAATTCCCAAAGTAGTCACTCTCACTTGGTTCTGATCATTAATTTTTTTTTTTTTTTTTTTTACATGCAATTGCAATATAAAATACTCGCTAGTCCTAGGTATTTTTTTATAAAATAAATTTTAACACTTTTTGTGTTTGAAGAAAAATTTTGGCTAGAGTATCCACTTACAAGATTCAACTAACACAAAACAAAAAAAAAAAATCCCTTTATAAGATCTGTCAATTGCAGCTCCCGCGCTGCTGTCTTAATTGTTGTTGGTTGTGGAGTCCGACCACTAGTTGGGCGCCAATTATATGTTTTCCAGTCCTGTGGTGACTGAAAGTTAGGTTGAGAGGCGACTGTGCCTCTTATTGCTGGCCTCGGGCTCAGATAATGAAATAAGCCATTTAACGAGCAAATGACGGAGTGAATATTTATTTAAGCGGTTTACTGGAAGAACGCTTTTTAACCCTGCTTTTAATTGTTCTTTTTTGAATAATCGAAACAGTTAATTTTATTGGTTTTTCTTATTATATTCACTATTTTTAGTTTTACTTATATGACACCAATTTTTAGCATGTCCTATCAGTACGAGTTAAAACACGAGACTGATCTATATTTTTACAAATCATAGCCTCACCGGCGTAAGTAGAGTTGCCCTTGCCAGGGCTGTTCCTTAACTTGTCTAGCACCCGATAATAAGTGTTGAATAATACCTTACATTGAGTGTTATAAGCTAACTAAGTGTTATAAGTTAACTTATATATTTTTTATTTAACATTGTTTTTTTTTTTGTTATTTTTTTAATAATTAATATTGCATTAAATAAGTATTTTTGTTTGAAAGTGTCTTTAATTATAATTTCTTTTCTTTTATAGCATAATGCAGAAAAATAATATAAATAAAAAATAAGAATTAGAATTTGATAAAAATAAATAAATCCTTTATATTGTTCTACAATAAATATAATTTATTTGAAAATACTGCTTTATTATTTATTTTTATTTATATTAATTTTAATAAGACATAATTCTCTTGAGCGAATTCGTGGTTCAAGGTTCCCATTTCGGGTGATCAATACGTGAAGGTGCCCTTCACTTGCTGCCCATAAATTGCTCAACAGTGGCCAGACTCGGCGATCCCATTAAGAATCAAGCGCTTAATTTATTAAATTGCCATCGATGGCTGCCAAATTAAAATGTCAGCCAGCAACAAGTTGGATAAAAGACAAGAAAAAAGGCAGAAAAAATACTCTCTGAAAAAAGTGTCATAAAGTTGTGTGACAGATTTCTTTGATTCATAACTCTCATAAATTAGGGGCTGGCACATTTTGGGCGTGCCATCGAAACTGGCGAAATTGTTAGCCCAAAGCCAATGAAATCAATGCCAATGCGGAATGCATAAATATTTTGGCAAATTAAATGAGATTCATTTAGCTGTCGTCGTCGTGTGGGAAGCACCCTCAATGGGTTGGAATGCAGCAAATGGATTCAGATTCGGATTCGGATTCGCATTCGGTTTGCATGTGTCGAACGCATAAGTTTTCATGATGATGACATTCATGGGGCTGCGAGAAGCTGGCGACAGGCGCCAGTTGCCAATTATCGATTGCCAGTTGCCTCATCAAATGAATCACTCGCATCTGCTTAACGAAATGGGTCAAGAATCGTATCAAGCTACTCAAAGGCCACATAAGCTCTATGGCACCTGTTAGCGAACATAGAAATATAGATTTAATGTTATCATAAATCGCGATAGAGCCCGACCAGCCAAGCCTCTGCAACTGGCTAAACCACTTTCGGGCGGTAATTCCATCGATCAATTGCCAACTCTTTTTAGCTTGGCTACTCGTATCTTGATTTTAGCCAAACAAACTATTTTATGCTCAGTTTATGGACTGACAAACGCCTAGGGGCGTGAAAAGTCTACTAAATTAGAATTAGTCGGGCTAAAAACCCGTTGCAACTGCGATCGTTCTACAACACTGCAAATGTGCATGAAAATGTTTTATTTACTTTCTGATACAAGCTGGTCCTCTTCTTTTTGGAATATTTCCTTCAGTTGATCATCGTTATTTACAATAAAGTCAACGAGAACATAATTTATCTCCGTGCTAATAAGCATTAAGTCTATTAACTCCAAAGCAGCCGATTGGTATGCATAGCTAAGCCCTGGACTCCCTGGAATAAGTGCTTGTTCCAGTTTTTTGGTTATCTTTGATGGAGGCGAAAATATAGAGAATCTCTTAGAATAATTGGCTTAATGGAACGATAGGTTTGTATGAGCAATTTACACATTTTTCTTTTGTGAAAACTTATCGATAAGTTGTCGATTACCATAGATAAATTGAAACAAATATTTACTTATAGAAATTTTATACATTAAATGTATAATCTATCTTTGATGTGCAATATACACACAGGATAGCTTAACAAATGTTCGATAATTATCGATTACCTTTCAACTTTAAGCAAAGTAAGATCTACACAGCAAGCTATAGAATAGCAAGTACTTCTAACTGTTCAGCATTTAAGAATATCAAATATAGCTATTAAACTCCTTAAATTATATCGTCACTGTCGATCATCTTATCGATAAATGCAGACTTTTACATCGGTATATATTTTGCCAATTTATATGTGGCTATTGAGTAGTAGGCACTCCTCTCCACTAGGCATTTAAAAATATCAAGTATATCAGTTAAGGTTTGAATTATATCGAAACTATCGATTACTCAGTAACTGATCGATAAATGCAGATTTTTACATTCATTTCTATTTTATCTATGCTTATAAGATTATGCTAAAAATGCTTACTACAATCGATAAAGTATCGACAAAGTATCGATAACTATGCCCAAGCAAAAATACTGATAAACGAAATATGTCTACTACTACTCTACAGAGAGTATGATCTCGTGTGAATTAAAATTATAATTAGTTTTCATTTCCTACCCCTTGAAATCTCAGGGCCAAGTTTTGCCACCAATTCTGCTTCCTATTAGCCTTAGCCTGTTTGCGGTTCAGCGTTTGTGTCGCTGCATCCACGAATTGAGCTGTGCTGAAAACCCTTTGATAGAATTTGTTCCACAGTATTGAGATGACCCAGCATAGGTTCTGTTGCAGAGGCTGTCGCTCCAATTGAAGGCGGCATACACCATTCAGTGGATTGATGATCGTCGAGCTGGGCTTAATGGAATGCAGTCGCATCCACATATTAAATAGGGGCACAACGACGGTACAGTTGCTGCCCTGGCTATCCAACTTGTCTTGCTCCTCACCACCTGAATAGCGTACCTCATGTTGTCTCACACGTTGCCAGCAGTGGCGATGGCTCTGTAGAATGGTATAAGCTGAGTTGTGGCTTGACAACTGCCTGGGTGCGTAGGGCTCCCATTCCCTAACGTAGAGCTGTCGCAACTGCTGGCCAAGGAGCTCATGGCTCAGCAGCATTTCAATTTAAAATTTGGAAATATCCTAAAAAGTTGACATAAACTATCAATTTCTATACAAAAACTATAAAATGTGTGTGACAAATATCGAAAGTGCTATATCCGCATTATAGTTTGCCACTGAAGCTCAAAAGATGTTGTGCCAGTTTTGAACAGAAAAACATATTGATTTATGAATACCTGTATATGATTAGTGCACCTTGATTTTGCAACAATTAATATTATTCATTCATTACGGTTGCACTTTAATTAACATTGCAATCTGAATCAAAATATTTACAAATCAATTATTATTATGATTAGCAACTGTTGCAATCACTTCCAGCATAATCGATCACCCAGCTAGGGGCCACTCCAACTGGCGACCAACTGGCGACCGCTGCGTCGACAGATCCGAGACACGAGTCCATTGATATTTGCATATTTATACCACAAATGCCGTCGATGCATTTGCCTTGAGCTCTAGGAAATATATACTTGACATTGTTTTCCGAAACTTTTTCGTGTAACTAGGAAAATCCAATTTTGTTTGGATAGAGATCAAGAATTTGGTTTTTAAATGTGCCGGAAACGCAATGAATCTATGTCAACTTGACGTAGGCAAGAGCGAGCTCTGTCTATTTAGCTGTTAGCTTTTAGTATTTCACATATATAAATTTTTGAAAAATTTAATTGTGGACGCATTCGTAAACACTTTAATTAAAACCTTTTTCGTCGACTGCCAAACGAATTGCGTCAACAATAAAGTTTTGAAGTCAATTGAACAACGAGCTTCGAATCCTTGAATAAGCTTTCATATACAAACACTTTAAGATAAAAGTTAGGGAGTTTTAAATAAATAACAATTAAAATTAACATTTTAAAATATAGATGCAAAAAATAAATCAAATTGGATTTTAATCAGATCTAATTAAATTATTGCAGTTATTAAGTATAACAGAATAAATCCATTTATATGTAATTATATATTGGTAAAGATAATAATAGTGATAGTGATAATATTAATTATGATAATAATACAACGTATTTCAATAATAATAAAAACATTCAGATCAGCTCATTAGCTAAGCTGAGTTTTTCTGCTATGCAAATTACCATCAACGGGTTAAGAATTTGTTTTGCACTGCGAACAGTTATTTATCTTTGGAGTTGTTCATATTAATCAGTCAGTCAGTTGGCTTAAACAAACAAAAGGCAGCAGCGGATACTACATTAGCTGTACAAGTTGTAATTGATTCGATTTGATACGAAGTGTGTCTGTCGGCTGGCTAAATGTTAGCTGTCTTTGTCGCCATACGCTGATAGACGACGTTTTCAATTCTATTGACATAAATTATCTATTGCTTGTAAACTGGATGATGATGAAAAGCTAATGCACGCTAATGCATTGTGGCGAAATTGTTTAGCTCAATCACTTAATTGCCGGCAATGCGCATTAGATTGAACTGGCGACAAAGAGCGTAATTGTTATCGTACTTTATCAAAACAGCACAAAAAATGGGCAAGCGTTCTTGATTGGAAGTTGCTCTGCAATACGATGTGTCAGATATAGTCAAGCTATATGGGAAGAGTTACCAAAGAAAATATATAGCTTAACTATCATGTGCTTCCTGAACACATATATGCCGATAGCTGGTCGCAGCTAAGTACTCTCGGCTGGACGAGTCTCAGCCTGTTACATATCTTGTGATAACTTGATCGTGCCTTCGCCCATTCACTCGCATAGGGTACAATTCAGCCACTGCTTTGTAGTAGACATAACAACTATCATATCATGACAATGTACATGACAATATATTTTGTAATTTAATCTGGGACAATCGGAACGATGCCGATTGCAATCTGAACAACTGGACGACAACAGAACGACAGCTTACAAGCAGGAAATACGCCCAACCTTGAGCAAGCGTTTAAAAACGCGCATGAAACGCGTGCGCCCGCTACACCAGCCGACAACAAGGTGTAAAATGGGCAGTCACGTTTGTCAGGATCAGCCGGCGAAGCGTTTAATAATGTGACAGCTCAGCGTATCGTAGCAGCTGCGCGGCAGCAACTGCAGCAACAGCAGCAGCTTATTTAGATGCGGCAGCACCTCAGCATGAGGAGGCAGTAGAAGCAACAGCAGGATCCCGATCCGAACCGATCCTGATCGGGACCGAGCAGTGTCTTGGCACTTGCTAGCTGGGTACGCTTTAATTAAACTAACATCGCTGGCTCGGCAATTACACGGAAAAAGGGTCAAAGGTCGGCGGCTGTTGAGGCGAGCACATTAAACCGAAACACTCAACAAACGCTCGAGCCTTAATTAAGTCATTAGCTCTAAAATGTCCTGCTGCTCGACGCCTTAATTAATCATTTTAATTGTTCGTCTGTGCGTGGCCAGGGCAGAGTCAAGGACAAAGCATTAAGAAAGAATTGTGCCCAAAAACTGCGGGGGAGCGTGTTTTGTCTTTAGTTATTTATAGGTCAACGCTGGGGCTGGTTCTGGGTCTGGGTCTGGGTCTGGGTCTTGACATTTGGCATGCGCTGCCAGCTACTAAAATGTTGGGCACAAATGTTACAAATGTGGTTTCTGGTTGTCAACCTACCCAAAATGGGGTTGCGCGCTGCACTTAGCAGGGCCACAGAATGGAATGTGTTTTAGAAACTATTCTCATTGAACGATTCCCTTTGGTAGGATTAATTGAGCGACCTACTTAGACGAAGAATTTATATTGTGAAAGGTATTTTGAACATAATACAAAAAGTTTAGTACAATTAATGTTAAGGACTACATTTGTATTTAATTAATATGTTAAAAGTTTGAGGTAGAAAATTAAACAACTTTGAAATGCAGAGAGAGAGAACTAGAGAGAGGAATGAGACAGAAAGATAAAGGACAGGAAAAAGAGGGAGAGAGAAAGAAGCAGAGAGGGAGAGAGAGAGCGAGAGAGAGAGAGAAAGAGAGATAGAGACAGAGAGACAGAGAGAGAGGGAGAGCGCGAGAGAAAGTGAGAACGAGGGCTAGATAACGAGAGAGAGAAAAGGAAGGAATGAGAGAACTAGAGAGCGAGAGAGAAAGATGGAGAGCCGACAAGAGTACATCAAAATGAACACAGATCAAACTAACTAAATTAACCCTACAAATTCTTAATCACACCACGTGAAATCTCCTTACGTTCAGTCATGTTCTCAGTTGATTAACGGTTTCTCCTTATCGAATTTAGCCCTCCGATAAACTTCTCAGATAGTTTTATTTACTATAAATATTTTATCTGTAGATCTCACCATAACTCTTATCGAAAATAATGACGTCGATAGACATAGGCAGACCCCAAACCACGGTTAGACAGGCTAATTGTCTAGCCCAGGCGTTTAGTTGCTTTCGCTATGCGACATGTGATTTTTATAAGCTACCGCAATCTCAAAGATAAGATACACATATATAATAATAAGTTGTTCGATTTTAGGCAATTATATATATATATATATTATTATATATATATACATTGTGATAAATTGCTTTGTTGCTGCTGCCTATGGCTGCTTTGCTTAAGTAAGTTATAGTTATATGGGCAAAGGTCACATACTGAGCAGTGAAAGCGCCCACGCTATATCCCATTGGCTTATCAGGAGCAATTAAAGAACAGCTCTTAAAGCTTATAAAATTTGGTCAGGTTTTTCACGTTCCGACGCTTGTGCGTCATTTGTTTTTTTTTCTCCATGATACTTTGGGCAAATGTTAATTGGTTTTTTTGCACTTGTGAAATTGGCAACAAAAGCAAAAAGTAAAACAACAACAAATAAGTGTCTACGCGCCAAAATGCACAAACGCCATCCCCATGTAATCACAAAAACGCTACGAAAACCGCGCGCGAAACGCTAGCGTTTTCCAATTAGGAAATGCAGTAAGTTGTGAGAACTGAGCAGAAACTTTCTTAGCTGTAGTCAGGCACCTGAATGAATCGAACTATAAATAATAGGTATTCACATTTATTAATAAATTTGTATAAATAACACTAAAGGAATCAATTTATATAACAATTTATATATATATTGATATTGTTTTGTTAATTCTATAAAAAATATATTTTTGCTTTAAACTCACAAAAAATGCTTTTTATTTTTAAAAATACAATAAATGATTTTTTATGACAAGCATCACATATACATTTCGATCATTTGCCAAAAAAAAAAATTTTGCAAATTTTTCCAAATCGGAGAATCGAAATGATTTTTGTATATTAAAAATATATATTTTGAATTTTTAAGAAACCCCTATTAACTCAGGAACTGTTTATGAAGCAGCATTTAGCTATAATGAAATATTTTTGAGCTCTTTAAAAAATGAGTCGAAATTTCAAAGAATTAGCCTACGTAAAACTTTGTTGATTCCAATGAAATATTGTAAGAAAAAAATATAAGAATTTGCTGCAATTCCTATGGACTGTTTACCCGGTAAAGGGTAACCACTCCTGGTGCCAGTTAAATATGATTACATGCGCAAATACAGTTAGTTAAATATTGCATTAGTCTAACGCTGTACGGCACTAATCACGAATGAGATTCACGCGAAGCCGAACGGCTTTCCCGAAGCGCACACGAAGTCAACCGGCAGAGGCGAACCGAACAAACCGAATGGTTCCGCGTATGTTTGAATGAAATTTTTGTTTTAGTGCTCAGTACGATTCGACAACACACGCTGAGCGGAGGGTCCGCTGATTGCGCCGTCGGCAGCATTTTCATTTTTTTCGAAGTCGAACTGTTTTTCTTTTGGACGTTTGTCGTAACATCGCATCGCATCGCGTCGCGTCGATCGTGTTTTTTGAAATCGTTGTTCCGGTTTGAATTCAAATAGTTTTCACATCCCCCACAACGAAACCTTGTGAAAACTTAAAGCAAAAATATTTAAGGAAATAGCGAGTCAAAACGAAAATATAAGAATTGTGCAAAGCAACAACTAAATATTATCTAAGGAGCATTTTGACAGCGGCCCTTGCCAGTCACTGCTCAATAGTTTCGAAATAAAATTTAATCTAAATCAAAGTCGAGTGCAGTGTTAAAAAGTGCAAACCAGAAAATGTTGAATTGTTGCTGCAATAAAATTGTGCAAATTTTTTAA